TTAATCAGATAAATTTTACACTCAATTGTTTGACTCAACTGTTTGAGATTAGCTATCGTATTCCATATATTACACCTCTAAGTTATCGATCCATCAGAGATTACTTTTCATTTATGCATATTATCTTTCACACAGAACATCCATATTTTTCCGGCCGTTCTCTCTCCTTACGACCTAGACTTCATATTCAACGGCTAGTTAAAAATACGGTCTTCATACCTATATGATACTATTAGCAAAAACATTAACAAATAAATATTACAGGCTTTGGCGAGACGGATGTTACTTATTGTACAAATGAGTAACGGAAATTTTCCGTATTATCTAACTTAATATTATGTCCACATTCGACCGCTATTACAAAGGCTCCCTTCCTCACCTCAAGCCTGCAGATCGACCCTCGCGATCTCCTGACCCACTTCTCGAGGTTGACGACCGTGTGACGTCACGGTTGTCGTCCCTACCCCGCTCCGCTGCGCGCGGTACGTCATCCCCGCCTCGGGGGTGTGTACCCGGACCACCACATGATTTTCGAATTTAGAACGAAGTGGACGTGCGCCTAAAGTTGGTATTCCTAACATTTGAATAAAGTGCAACCATTCTTGTATTATTCCGTGAGAACGTGGTATGACTATTTTAGGTAAGTTTACAATTTATTGAATTTTTTCCAAGCGGAACTTTTGTTATGTAACGTTTCGTGACCTTCGTGCTCCCAACGTTTGCGGTGAATTTCGAGGTATATTGTATTATCCTCCGGCACAGAGAATACGTCCTTGAATTTTGATAAGTCTGATTACTTTTGTTTCTAAATTATGTATACATTCTTTGTTGTATTTACAGTCACGTTGGCGCGTTTATATTTCTATATTCCGGTGTGTTTTTCATTATGTAATTTCATTATAACAAAATAAGAATCAATTTCATTTAACAAGTTGGTGTAACAGTTTTTATAAGATATTAAAGAATCTACAAATTCATATAGAAATATATCTAAGAATAGCAAACTGCAGAATTGCAAGTCCCTTTTAAAACTACTCTCAATGGATTCGCCGTCTCGTTCGGTGTATTCGATTTCAGAGAAAGGTATAGTGTATAGGCTGACGTCACAGGAGTTCATGTCCTAGATATAGGTTATATGAATCACAACTCTCAATGATATGCAATTTTACTGCCCCTATTTCGCAACTGCCCAACTATATAAAGCTGTGAATTATTTTAGATCTCTATGTTTTTAGTTATTTTAATATTACATTACAGTAGTTTTCGTTCTTTAATTATTAAAATATATAGGATAATAGAAAAATCAAGTTGCTAATATGAATTAATTTTATTCTTAACTAGCTGTTATCTGCATATCTACCTGTTATTTCGTCGGTCCGCTGGTGGGGCACCAGTAGAGAATGATAAGATGGTGATGAGCGGTCAAGTCAGTTAGCCCATATTAACAAATTCACCAGAATATTATAACGATAGGGGCCGCGTGGATGTCACCCTGACATGGCAGGTATGGGGTTCACATCCCAAACAATCCTCTTCGAACCCTCATTTGGAACTTATAACATTAGTATGGATGTTTCAAAATTATATGTATGATTGATTGATTAATTAATTTTTAATTGATCAATAATGTAATAAGTAATAATAATAAATAAATAATATAATAAGGCGGCTTTATTGTAACTATACATGTTGTCCTTTAATATATTGTTTATGCTTTTTTCTTTACTGTGTGTTACAAATAAAGTATATTCTATCTATTAATTTTAGGTTAGGAATACTCGTGTTATATCGTTACCTTAGGACTTCTAACAAGTCATAATGATCGGAATTATTACAGTACCGGTTTGGTTATTTTTATTCATATATAATAGAAACCAGTCCATCCAACATTGTATACGTCATTAGCAGTTTGATCAGTTGAGCCGAAGACCTTTCTACTCTTCATCTGTGTTTTTTCCTTGATTACCATTAAATAACTCAAAAGCAGAATTATAATATTTATGTTATACTAGCTGTGCCCGCGGTTTCTACCGCATTAAGTTTACAGCCTACGTATGATATTCAGATTTAAGCTATATGACTGTACAGTTTCATCAAATCAGTTCAGTAGATTTTGCGGCTTCAAACGGGTATATGTAATATACATATAAACCTTCCTCTTGAATCACTCTATCTATTGCTACAAACTGCATTAAAATCCGTCGCGTAATCTCTTAATTTGCTTAATCGAGGTATAGAAGGGTGGTAAGTAAATTTAACAGTGATTTTCTGAAAATCTCCAAGAGCAGGCCTAAAAATGTAAATATTAAACAATATATTATATTATATGACATTTAAGCCAATATTAGTATTATAATAATTTTTTCATAGCGTTTTTGTCTTTAAACAAATGAAGATTATCTATTTCAAGTATAGGTAACTTTTTATCTAACTTTATAGTCATTATTATTATAATGTACAGTGGTACATTTTAGTATTTGAATAAAAAACTGTAAATTACTATAAAATACTTCTTACTTTAGTCCCACTTTATTTAGGTTTCTTTCGTTATTTAAATTCAACGTTGTGTTTTTCTTATCTGATCAACTGGATCAGATTAACCTGGATTGCCTTTTATACGAACTAACTGTGCGTGCATTCGTTTCTACTCGTGTATATACATTTATAGACGTCATTTTTTTTAATGGATGATAAATGGAATGTTTTTATCCGCCTATGCTGGCGGGCACCAGTGGAGAATTATAGATTGAGTATATAAGTTTAGGTCAGTTAGCCCACTATGACAAGTTCACCTGGAGTTTATCACAATGGTTTCCAGGGAGAACCGCATAGAGGTCAACTTGACATGGTATATTGCTAGCAATAGGATAGTCCACATTACTAATAATCCACTTTCCCCGCTAATGGACCGGTTTCACCTGCCTGCGCTGCTGCCTGCAGCTAAAAAATCAGTCTCCACTGGTGCCGTTAGTGTGGTATACACTAGCGAGGCACCAGTGGAGACTGATTTTTATAAGAGTATGAGGTCAGGTCAGTTAGCCCGCCGCACCATGAGAAATTCACGTGGAGTTTATCACGATGGTTTTCAGGGGGAAACGCGTGGAGGTCAACCAGTCATGGTACATTGCTAGCAATAGGGTTATCAGTCCATATTACTAACTATCCCCTCCCTGTAATAATAGATATAGATAATAATGGATTAAAAACTGACAATAAATAATAAAGCGTCTAAAATGTTGCCGTCAACTAATTTATATTTGAAAGCCTCGGTGCTCCAGCAGTTTAGCAAACGCCTTTTTTTCCGGTGGCCACAGATTCGATTCCTCGAGCGGTCTAAACATTTGTATTCATAAGTATGATTGTTTGCATCGTTCCGGGTGTTTTCTATGTATAATTAAAGAAATATATGTCTATTTATTTATATCCTTTGTCTAGTACCCATAACACAAACTCTCCTTAACTAGGATCTATAATCAATGACGTTATGTGAATAGGTCCTAATCCAGGGGTATTATTATTATATAAAAAATAATTTTACTTATGCTTTTGTTTGTTGTTTGCTTCATATCGCCCTACATAGTTACATAAGTCTATTGTTTTCGTCTATTTTGTCTCTTGATCGTATCGATTGAACTAATGCCACGTCTCAAAATAACTCCCTGGTAGAGACCGTCCCACGTATTAAATTGCAACCTATTTATTACCTTGAACGCTGATGTATTTTATATTCATACCTATAAGATCGGTGAATTAATAGTTATATGTTATACACTACTTCTTCTATTCTCTTCTTCTATACACTTTAGCTCAATCATGCATAAACGTAATATCTCTCAGAAAGTTTACACTCTATCCTGAGGAGATAAAAACATTAATATCCTTCAATTCTTGTCCCTGACGGGTCCAGATAGCTAACTCTGAAAAAGGGCGAGCACAATAGATTTATGTAGGTCGCAGTGCTACAGGTTCAAGCAACTGACAATAGCTCAAACCCCCCAAAAATACACTAGATCACCCTAGAAAACATCATGATAAGTTCCTGGAGAGTTTGTCTACACTTATATACACATTCTGCCCTGCCTGCTGCCTTGCTCATGCGTAAAAAGCGTAAGTGTAAAGGCAGCATTTGTCTACATTTCATATTTCTTTCCTGCGTGATATTTGCGTAAGCATTTCTCTACATTTATCTTTTCTCTTTAGTGATATTCTATTCATGCGTGAAAGAGCGTCCGTGTGAAGGCAGCATTTGCCTACATTACTCTTTTTTTTTCCTGAGATAACCTATTCACGCATGAAGGAGCGTAAGCGTAAAGGCAGTATTTTTTTACATATAAGAGATTATCTTATATTCTTTCCTGTGTGATAGCTTATACTTTAGGTTCACAGTTTTTGTGGTAATACTGAGTCACTCGTAACCTGTCTGTAAATGTAAATATACCCACGCAATTGCAACATTTTAACTTTTACTTATTTGTCGCTGGAAGAAACTAGTATCTATCATACAGACTCGGCCTCGTTTAATAACAACAACGTATAATAGCATACATTCTCTGAAATGTATGCTATTATTCATACCCCTAAGTGATAAGGGTTGTCCACCCATAATATAAAATTTTATAGATGTAATATATTTTTTTTTATAAATTACATTAAAAATTAGTGGCATTATGAAATACGTACATCAAACAATCAAATCTTTGCCCTTCTGCCACCAGCCCAGATGCCAGAGTCATCTAGTAATAATGTGATCTTATTTTAATATTATAATATAAACGCGAAAATTTGTGGATGTTTGATAATCTTTCACGCAAAAAATTTGAATGAATTTTGATGAAACTTTACAGTAATGTAGCTTATAAGCTACATCAGAATAACACATATTTTTTATTGAAATTTAATGCGGGTGAAACCGCGGACTCTGCTAGTAGTTTATATAATAAGAATGACTGTAAATTGGTGTAAATAAAAAGCACTGTGTTTTTACGCGTGGGTGTGTTCAGAGCCGTCGCGGAGCGTGATGCGCGCGCCGGCGTGGAGTGCGGGCGCGGCGCTGGCGGCCGTCCCGCGCTGGTCGCAGGCGCCCGCCCTCGACGACCACGCGCTCCAGCGCCCGCTCTACCCCTGCGACCACCACCTCAACCACCGACTCGCCATATGGTACGTACCATCACTAACACACCCTTCAGACACTTCAAACCCAAAGACCAGAGGACAGGGGACTGTAACCTCACACACGCTTCAGTTTATTCAACCCTAAAAAGCAGGGAAGCGAGGAGGAAAGGATTGTACCCTCACACATGCCATATGCTTCAGTTTATTCTACCCCTATAAGTTGTTAGTAATGTGGATTAGTAATACCATTGCTAGCAATGTACCATGTCAGATTGACCTCCACATAATGAATGGTGCACTTTCCTGCGCTAATAATATACGCTGGCTGGGCACCAGTGCAGAATCATAAGATGAGCATAAAGTCAGTTAAATCTTTTTAAATTCACAAAGAATTCACCACGATGGTTTTCAGAGGGAACCGCGTGGAAGTGGACTTGAAACCTTTTCAAATAAACTTAATAAATGCACTTTGGAAAAGTGTAATTATAATATACTATATATTGTTTATCTTATCATCATTAGGTCTAACAAAATTGTCTTACATTAAATTGAGTGAAATTCCATTTAGTATAGCTCGTTTTATACATAATTTTCAGGAATGGTGATATAACGTCGCTGGAAGTAGATGCCATCACAAATACCACAGATGAGACTCTAACGGAATGCAATGCAATCAGCGAACGGATCATGCAGATGGCTGGACCAGAACTGAAGGAGGAAATCATCACTAGAGGACTTGGTAAGGCTCATATTTCTACTGGAAAATGGAAAGATAGCTGGTAGTCCACCTGATGGTAAATGGTAACCGCCTCAACGTCAGGTAGACCACCGGTGCTAACATACATGAATATCGCTACAGTTATAACGTTATCAGCCCCTCTCCAATTGATCCCACATTCAATTCAAACGGGGATGCCTCCAGGCGGGAGATGGCTTTCAGCCTTCCTTGGTTCGGAGACCCCTATTGTCCGATAAATCTCGAAAGGCCAACTGCGGCACAAAACAAACTCCTACCTCTGACGGATACACCGTCCAATTCAAAGGGGATTGAAATTACGACGGCCTGAGCCGATGTTCGAACCCCTAGTGTTGCCCTCAGACTAAAGTCGTAGCCGTCAGGCGGAAGTTGGTCTTCAGCCTTCCTTTGGTTTCGAGTGCCATCTGAACTCCCCTATCGTCCGGCGAAGCTCTAGAGGCCACCTGCGGCGCAAAACAAACTCCTGCCTGACGGATACAACTTTACTCTGGGGGCGGAAGGCGTAATTTCGATCCCCGTTTGAATTTGACGGGGATCGATTGGAGGGGCAATTAAAGAGTATTATTCAACGGCAGTTAATATTTTAATTGTAGCCACCTGTGTCAATTGTTGTTGTTATGTTAATTTCACTTCGAGACTTTTAACAAATTATTGCTATATTTTTTTTTATTGATGTCACGCCGTGTCATTACGACCTTTCGAGGCAAATTAAAAATAGACAATTGACAAACAGTAAAAGATGAACGGTTAATGTAAATCGACATATACTCGAGAACATGTGCTGCTTGTAGGCACTGGTCTACTCTGATAACAGTGACTGATTTATTTTGTTATTCAAGTAACATTTTATTTATGTTATGTCAATGTTTCTATTTGGCAGTTTGTATTCTCAGAATTCTTAAAAGTACGATTTCTGAACAATATATATTTAAAAGATCAACACCCAAGTTTCTTGCTTATTCTTCTTGTAATCAATCTGCGTTCCGAATGAGTGATAGAATAAAAAATATCATATATTTCTGATTCTACCACTCCTTCGGAAGTGCTTATTTTATTAAAGATAATTTATGTTCCTATCATTCAGAATTTATCACAGCATTATTAGTCCGACTACAGCATGGAATTTCTCAAGAACCTTTAAGAAATCTTAATATTTATTAAGATTTCTTAAAGGTCAGCAAGACGCACGTGTCACCCCTGGTGTTTCAGGCGTATATATACGACGGTAACCATTTACCATCAGATGTGCCGTATGCTGGCACTTAATTGAATTTAATGAGTTAACCTTAAAAGGTAGACATGTTTTTGCCGACTTATTTTTAGAACTTTTAAAGAAGAACAATACCCTCCTACACTAATACATATTTTTGTGGAATTTTAACCGTTTCTACAGCGCACTCAAAATGAATATTTTTTTATGTCTTCATGACTGCTCCGCTCCTATTGGTCGTAGCGTGATGTTAAACAGCCTATAGCACTCGTATGTGATATACCTCTCCAACAGTTAAAAACAAACTTAAATCGGATTATCAGACGACCTCGGTGGTCTAGCGGTCAAGCACACCGCTTTACGACCGATGGTCGCAGGTTCGATTCCTCGCACGGCACAAACATTTGTATTCATGAGTATGATTGTTTGTATCGGTCTGGGTGTTTTCTATGTATAATATGTATGTATTTAAAAAAAAATCTATATATATATACATACATATATATACATAACACAAGCTCTAGCTAGCTTAACTTGGGTCTAGATGGCGCTGTGTGAATTGTCCTGAGATTATTATTATTATTATTATTATTATCAGACGACGAGATTACCCGAACAAACAAACATAGTAAAATATAATAATTTTCATTTACAGAATGTCGGACGGGCGAAGTTGTAGTGACGCCAGGGTTTATGCTGAGATGTAGACACGTGATTCACACAGTCAGCCCTAAATACGTGGCCAAGTACCACACGGCTGCAGAGACATCGTTACAGAACTGTTATAAGTAAGTAGCTTCAAATAAATTATCAGTTATTGGTAAAATAACACAACAAAAATCTGCAGATTTTACCAAGCTGAAGAGGAAATCCCACTACACATCCTATGTGGTTGTAGTGCATAGGATGCATAAACGTATGATATGTCCATTGGAAAGTTTACACTCTATTCTGAGGATAAAAGCCATCTCTCCTAAAATGTCTCTCAATTCTTGTCCCTGATGGGTCTAGGTAACGAACTCTGAAAAAAGGCGAGCACAATAGATCTATGTAGGTCGCAGTGCTACAGGTCCAAGCACCTGACAATAGCCCAAATCCCCCAATAAACTGAAATTTTGGTAAATGGGCTGGCACCAGTCAGTAGACTTTAAAAAATATTTCTTATTCCCACAAAACATTTACCTGATATACATTGCAACTGAGATATTTGGGCGTGTAAATTGAATGCTAAAGTGCAAACGGTCATATTTCAAAACTGAATATTTGTGGTCTAACAGATGCTAATGGTAGCGGAGTTACATAAAATTACTAGCTGACCCTGCAAACGTTTTGCCATATAAATTAAAATCGCTATTAAAAAATAGGGGTTGGTGATAGTAGAGTGAAAATGTAAGGTTGTATGTATGTATTTATGGCGAATGCCACATTATAAAAAAATAAAACAAAAATATGTTAGAGGTTAAGAAAACCCTTATGGCTTAGCGGTATGAAAAATAGATAGTAGCAGATTCTCAGACCTACCATAAATTGAAAAAACCGTTACGAGGTTTTGAATGCCACGTTATAAAAAAAAATCGTTTCCTCCAACGACACAAACATTTTTATTCATGAGTATGATTGTTTTGTGTCAGTCTGGATGTTTTCTATGTATAATTTGTATGTTTTTACGAAAAAAATATACATACTGTACATATGTACATGTATCAGTTACCTAGTACCCATAACACAAGCTTTAGCTAGCTAGCTAGCTTAACTTGAGTCTAGATGGCGCTGTGTGAATTGTCCTGAGATTATTATTATTGTGTAAGATTCATCATCAGTTAGACATCTCCAAATGATTTAACTATAAAATATTTAATTAACTTAATTTAATAGACTAGCTACTCGGCGCAGCTTGGCACGGATGTATATCTATTATATATATAAACCTTCCTCTTGAATCACTATTTAAAAAACCACTTCAAAATCCGTTGCGTAGTTTTAAAGATTTAAGCATACATAGGGAGAGACAGCGACAGCCACTCTGTTTTATACTATATATTGATTACAGAAACGTACTGAATAAGGCTGCGGAGTTAGGTGTGCGGACACTAGCTCTGTGTGTGATCAATACGCCTCGCAGGAACTTCCCATCGGATTTAGCATCGCATATTGCCTTACGTAAGTAAAAGAAAGAAAGAAAATAGTTTATTTGTATTATTATTTTTTTAGTGTAGTTTACTACAATATTTTCAAATGTTTTTCATGATGACTATTGTACCACTATACAATAGTCATCATGAAAACATATCAATCCAATCTGCTACATATCCCAATCTGCGTTAACTACTACTTTAACATACTACAACTATAATTTTTGATTTAAACCCCTTCAAAAAGAAAAGATAAACGTTAATCATTGTCACATATATAACGAACTGGAATACTACTACAACTACTGCTATACTTTTCGGTACTCCTTGCCTATCAACTATATATATATATATATTTCTAATTATAGCTGTATGTACCAAAAAAAAAAACCAACGCGTTTGCGTTTTCCTATAACTCAAAGCTGTAGTTGTAGCATGCGCCGGTTCTGCACTAATACTGCTGTCATTTTAAATATAAATAAAAAAAAACTATATTTGCTGAGACAAACAGTAAAAATGAAACTTCAATGATCAAGGGGATATATCATCTACCCGCTCCACGTGACGGTTAACGTTTATTCGTGGCTTAAAAATCCTAATACACTCCGTCTATAGAGAAGTTTCTCTTCATGACTGTATTTATTACATAGGTGAAACTCGTATACTTAAAAACTCATATGTATATTTGTATACGTGTTCTCATATACTCAAAAATTAATATATATGTATTATTAGATAGGTAAAATCTTTATTGGCAACATTAACTATAAATTTATATGTAAGATTTTGCTAAATTAACTGAAATACAGTTATTGTTAAATTACTGTATTTGTCTTATATATCAAATTCTCGTGTAACAGTTTTCGTTCCCATATTCCTCCGAAACGGCTTGACCGATTCTCATGAAATTTTGTGAGCGTATTGAGTAGGTCTGAAAATCGGCCAACATCTATTTTTCATCCCCCTAAATGTTAGGGCTAGTCCATCCCTTCATTTTTTTTTATTAGACAAAATTTTTAGGTTCTATTTTTTTATGATACAACATACAAAAATACATACAATCCTAAATTTTTACCCTTCTATCATCGACCCCTATTTTTTGTAGCGCTATTAATTTATATGGCCAAACAAGGTTTGCCGGGACAGCTAGTATGTATATGTGTGTGTGTGTGTGCGTGTGGGTGTCGTAGGCGCGGTGCGGCGCCACCTGTCGTCCAGCAGCCGGCCGTCGGTGGTGGTGGTGTGGGGCGCGGCCGCGGCGCTGTCGTCGCTGCGGTGCGCGGCGCCGCTGTACTTCCCGCGCTCGCCCGCCCCCGCCCCCGCCCCCGCACCCTCCCCGCCGCCGCCCGACCTCCACGACCGCCGCATACGCATCATACACAACCCGCACGACCGGGGAGCGGATACCGGTTAGTACTCTTATGTTATATTTTACCTTGTCCTCGAAGATTCGAGAATTTTAAAAGACCGATGGAAATTCAGTGCGAGTACGACACAACTGTAAGAAGCGTGCTTCTAACACCGAGGAATTCGAGGAGTGCTGCCTAACACCAAAACCTTTTGTGTATCGCCCAAAATAAAGTGAAGGCTCCAAAGGGATCGAGAAGTAGAAAATGATTTGTACTACATTATTTTATTATTCCTAGTAAATAATAATAAAATGGTAGAGAAAATTATATTAATACAAAAACTTGACGTTCATAAACAGCTAAAATATCCTACATGGATAGGTTTTTGGTTCTACGCGTACGGTCTTTGGAATAGGAATTGGCTTATACTTAGAAAAGAATGAACACGTAAATGACAAAAAGAACGAGAAAGACCGCCGGCAGATATTTGTTCATGCACGGAATTTTTATTTAATATTAGTGAGCAATACATTATCATCATCCAGAAGGAATATAGACATAAATGCATAACAATAACAAACTGATTTTTAAAGTAATTCGCAATTGCGTTTTTTTACCAGAGTCTGTTATAAACAGAAAAAAGATTTAAATGTATAAAACATGACACTATAAAATTGAAGAATTCGTTAACGATAATAATGTTTTTATAGAAAAACTTTAAATCTATAGCACTGACAATATATATTACATTAATAATGAGTGCGTGCATGATTAAAATAGTAATTATTTATATGTTCAACACACAGTTTCTTGCTCATTTTTATTGATGAACTGTTAGAGTTAGAATCAAAATATGACTATTCAGCTTGTAATAAGTTTAGAATAAAGATTTCAAATATACAGTCCTTTTTTTTATTTTTTAAAGAAACAATTGAGTTTCTTGCCAGTTCTACTAAATTGAATCTGTATACTGAACTGGAAGGTAGGGAAAAAATTATAATATAAAAAAAATTACGTTCATATACGGCTAAAATAATGTCCTACATGAATAAATATTTTTAATTTGATTTACATCATTGGAGCAGAATGTATTTAGGCAAAAATAATAATTGACACAAAATTTTTGCGATGTCTCTCAGATTCGGACCGACACCTTTCCGAAATCGGGTAATAAGTAATTAACTAGTAATTTGTGAATTTTACAATTTGATAAATAATGGGGATATTACATGACTTCATACAATACAGGAACACTGAGCTTAACATTAAAAACTACAAAGACATACTATTCTGAAAATAAGTGAAACAAATATATACTATATTTTGTGCAATTCTATCTCTTAATAATTCCGACAGTTCTTCCGGTGATTAGACATCGATTCCTCGCACATACAAATATTTGTACTCTAGATTGAGTATGATTCTATTGACTATCTACATTAATGTTCTACTTTCTTCTTCTATTATCTTAATATAAATCGGTACTTAGATAACAGAAGATAACTATTAGAGTTTGAGCTGCTCTATTACATTACACTATTGTCACCATCGTAGTATTCAAATGTTTCTTTCTTTCTGTCTACCTCAATTTAAAACAGGCCTGTCAAGTATATATTGCTTGTATCAAAAAAGTAGGTTTGCATCATGTTATTAATCATTGCTTAATATTGACTGATTGGCTGACTCATCATCTCTATCGAAATACTGCTAAAATTCTGAAAACCTATATATCTTCCCAATTTTTTCCTAATAGGACGCTCTTTACCTGTTATTAATTTTATTCGGCTCCTGACAAAGTTTTCTAGTTTAATTTTTTAGTAGATATTTTCTTTGTAGAAAATAAACTGTAGGCGGTACCCTATGGTTTATTTTCTCCAAGAAAACTTCAAAATATGTAAGAACTGTAATCATAAATCGTAATAGCCTTTCAGAAGCCACCTCAATATGGGCATTTAGAATTCTCGCAGAATAGCCGAGAAATAATTATTGTGGAATAAACAAAGAATTTTGCGTGATTAATCTAAATGGTGATGATGGACGTAAATGGTCTTAGTCATACACTGCTGATAATAATAATGCACGGTACAATACAAATATACGCATCAGATATTGTCACACTGATAAGAACTGCTAACATCATTAACCTAATAATAAAAATCGGACTGTCATTTTGTTATATATTTTTTATATAACTAACAAAATCAAAATCAGCGCTGGAAACTATGTTTCCAGCATTATACTGAGTTGTGGTCCACATTGACTCTACTTTGTATTGTGTATCAATTGTTGTTTGTTTTTTTTTTTACATTATTGTTGTGTCTAGTCGAGTTAATAAAATTATATTATATTCTAACTGAAATAATAACTGAATATTCTAACTGAAATTAGCAGAAGCACGACGGTTATGGTAAACCTAATAGGTAACCTTCAAACCAAAACCAACCAACTCCTGATGGTAACCATCGTATATACAGGTTTTTTTAATGTATGAATATTCTACGGTGCACTCGTGTGCATAAATTTACAAGACCACGATCCGGCTTGTAAGGACCAGTGTATTGGCCCGTAAAGGCTGAAAGACGACATACGACCGAAATGCGAATGTTGAGATGGATGTGTGGTATGACAAGAATTGACAAAATAAAGAAAGAATACATCAGAAGTATGAAAATGGCGCCAGTGTTGGAGAAGTTGAAGAGTCTGTCTTGGTATGAGTAATGCACAGGAATGAAGATGATATTTAAAGAAGCGTGATATATGAATGTGGATGGACAGAGGAAGGCCGAAAAAGAGATGGACTGTGTGAAAGATGATAAGAGAAAGACAGGAAGTGAATTAAAAGATGACTCAACAGGTATTAATGGAAGAGTAAAACATATTACACCTATCCGAAATGAATGGGATAAAGAAGAAGGAGATGAAGATGCCTTGGCTAACAGTACACGCTGGCGGGGACCAATGGAGGACTATAGGATGAGTCAGTCAGCTCTGAACGGTTTAGCTTACCGTTTTAGGTTCGATTATTAGGTATTATAATAATTATTTGCATTAATCTGGGTGTTTTCTATCTATATTATGTATTATTTCTAAAAAAGTTGCTTAGTACCCATAACACAAGCTCAGCTTAGCTTTAAACTAGATGGCGTTGTGTGAACTGTTCAGAGATATTGTAATGTACTGTAATATATTCTCCGCATTTAGCCTCTCATCTGCAAGACTCAGTGATATTATTATTGTATAATCATAAAATTGAAATTTTTTTAAAATATAATCTCTTAGGTAATAAAAAAAAAATTATATTCATAATGAATTGCCCTATAATGTTATACATGCCGTCTTATTATCTCTGATCAACGCGACGGTTGACTGGTAGAGAATGCCATCAGGCATTAAGTCCGACATATAACATTTTTATGTGCAAAAGAAAGAAATAAATTATTATTGTATAGTCATAAAAATTTGTGTAACTTTATTTCGAAAATGAAGAAAATCTCATAAATGATAATATAGTTATAACAATACATAATATTGACCAGTCATTTTTAATGAGTTCTATATATCCACTTAGCGTACTAATGATGCCATTAAGTGTAGAATGATATGTCCAGTGCACCATAGTGAATACATCACTGACAGGCTTATCTATGATAAATATAACAGGTTATCATATATTGACGCATTAGTATTATCGATCCAACTCACTAAAACACTCGTGTGTACATTGTTATTGCCCGTATATTGTACAAAATGGATTTGGAAGCTGGAACCGTAAGGATACATATAAAGGCGAGGCCCCACGGTTTGTTTCTTTTATTATTTTTTTTAATTTCATTACGTATTTGCAATGGTCGTCCTTTCTCCTCTTCAGAATGCCGTCGTTAAGTGTTATCGAGTCAAATTTATAGACGGTCATGCTGCTCCCTATTATTTGTAAGACGGTAGTGGCTAACACGTATACGGACCATCAGATGGTAAACGGTTACAATACCCTATGGATGCTTGAAATACTAGTGTCACATGCGCATTGCGAACCCTTAAGAGAGAGAAGAGAGAGGTAAATACCTTTATTTGCCATAAAATTATTCGTATTAAGACCCGGGTAATAATTTAAATAACCCTTAAGAAATTTCCTTCCTATTATTTTTCTAATGACTTCTCCTTCAAAGAGGTCGTAAGGTAAAGGACCCTGCATCATGCTTGATTACCGTCGCTCCTATGGTATTAAAAAAAAGGAAAACAAAGTCGTAGGTCTATGTAAGTACCTCAATCGCACCTATTGAGGCCGGCAAAGGTAAATTGTATAGCAATAACGGATATAGGATATCTACAATTGTAAATTGTATCAACAAATACGTGTGAAGTCGTGAGTAATATCTAGTACATATTTATATTAGCTACTTTGATACATATAGATATATAGATAAAATAAATAGACATTTATGTTATTTGGTTGTATACATAGTAACTTTTAAAGAGAATACCAAAATGAAATTTACTACATAATTCTAATTGACTTGACCTCATGCTCATCTTATCATCCTCCACTGGTGCCCCGCCAGTGTAAACCGTTAGCGCAGGCGGGTGCACCATTCCATTATCATCCATTAAAAAATACATAAAGACATTGTTGTAATCTATACTAATACTAATATATTATAAAGCTGAAGAGTTTGTTTGTTTGAACACACTAATCTCAGGAACTACTGGTTCGAATAGAATAGAAAAGAATAGAAAATCATTTATTCAAATAAACTTACATTGAAGCACTTTTGAATAGTCATAACATTTTTTTTTTTAATCTACCGCTCATTCGGAATGCTGTCTCATCACAAGAAGAACAAGCAAGAAACTTGTGTGTGTTGCTCTTTTAAATAATTTATTCTTACTTACAATTTAAGTTTAAGTGTGTGAATACAAACCACCGATTAGCACTAATTCAATGAAATAATAAAATAGAAAAAAAAATCAATAGAATTGAAAAATTCTTTTTGTTTTGGATAGTCCATTTGTCGAGGAAGGCTTTAAGCTATATAATATTACGCTACGACCAATAGGAGCTG